CCCCCCCCCCCCCCCCCCCCAGAAACCAGGGCAGTGCTACTGACTGAAATTGTCTTTAGACCATTCCCAAAGGAGGGATATTAACATATTAACATGTTATTATGCATAGTAAAATTGTAAATGGGCTGATTTATCAATGTCATGCTCATACTGTGCCGAACAACATATGGGAACTGCTGCTTTTTCTTTCGTCATCCTTACTATCGTCATTTTTCATCTACTTCTTTTGTACGTTTGTCACTCTCTTGAGGACTGCTATTTCCGGGGTGCACTGGTGGTCGAAACAGACTTTGTGCTGTTGAGACTAGAAAGGTGAGCAGAGTGAGCCTGATTCCCCGTTTGGACTTCTCTGTTTTTATATCCACCCCTTGGGGGTCATATGACCTTATGCAGTTGCGAGCGCCGAAAAACTTTATTAAAACAAAAGAAGCATAGTTCTAATAGAATATAAAGCCTGAGAATAATATACGCATCTCCAACGTATAAACTAGTGTCACAAAACAGTGGAATCAGTCGCTCGTCGGTTGTTGTTTTTATATGAAGTTATAGGTATAATCTTAAAACTCGTTCATTTGCCTTGCTATTGATAGAAATTGAGATATTTGCTATTGAACGAGGTGAGAATTGATTGCCTGGTGTGAGAGGTAAAATTAACGAGAAAATGAGCGCCACAGTTTGGTGATTTCCAACGCCTGAGTGGGCTTGTAAAATGCGAACCTACATTTTGTGTCTTTGATCAACGTTTTTCAGTAAAATCCACACAGAAATGTATTTTAAATAGACATAAAATTTATTGAACCCAAAATAAACAAATCTATAACAATTGTCCAGAGGACCGATGACTGACGGTTTCTTCAATTTCATTTTTTTGGCAAGCGTATAATTTCACCACGATGGCACACAATTGGTCGTGAGTGGGTATAATAGAAACGGTCAAACTTACACATACAAATAGGTGTTGTTTGCGCCCCTATCGACACAATTTAGATCATATAGGTGCCAAGCTTCCACCCTGCCCACCAGGTCCAACACCGGCAGGGAAGGATACAACGTCCTATCAGAAAGACCTACTTGATAGAAATTCTCTCAATAAGAGAATCGGGTGCCTAACTGCTACAACACATACAAAGAAATTCTTTGTTGGCTAATTCATAAACAATGCGTTGTTATGGCAGGGTGGTTCTTTATCTTGATACTATGTTCTTGCCAGCATCCACATGTGTTACAGTAGATGAACATACAGGTGGGGGGGGGGGGTTTAATAGTTTTTTAAAATATACTTAATAGCTGGTGCACTCATTTTTTGAAAAACCACTGCAACATCCTTGATCGTACAAACGGCTGATGGTAGAAGAAAGATGGCAACCACCATTGAAAAGTGGTCAAAGTCAGAGGTTACAGGTGCTATTTTTTTTTTCAATTGTTTGCATGGGATCTGGTGGAGACAATATGAAAGCTGATGGTGATGTCACATGACCAGATAAGAATTTTCTTGACATTCTGATTACAGGAAACGAAACATGGACGCATCACAAATCTCCCAAGACGAAGAGGGATTTCATGACCTGGAAACATCTGATCTCTCGTCACCGATGCCCCAAAATGTCCAAGGTCCAGCACTCTTCAAACAAACACAAGACAAATGTTTTCTGGGATATAAGAGGTGTATTGCTTGCAGTTTTAATAATAATAAATAGCATTTGTATAGCGCATATCCCCACTCGAAAGCAAGCTCTATGCGCTTTACACTATTACCCCAGCAGACTATAGAACACTCAGAAACATTCTCAGCATCCCGAGAAGCATGCAGTGCAAGCAGCTGGTTAAGCACTCAAACACTAACAAACTGCCAAGACCTTTTACTGTCTATAGCTGGGTACCTATTTTCTCCTGGGTGAAGTGTGGAAAATTCGTGTAAAGTGCCTTTCCCTTGGACACCACGTTGGGCCCGCGGCTCGAATCCCTGAACCCGCAACCTCACGATTCCGATTCCAGTAGCCTGACCACTAGGCCTCCGACGCCAACATGTGTGTGTGTGTGTGTGTGTGTGTGTGTGTGTGTGTGTGTGTGTGTGTGTGTGTGTGTGTGTGTGTGTGTGTGTGTTGGGTAGGTGGGGTGCCTCTATCTTTTGCTTGAATCTATTCGTTATTTCTGGTCTTTATATGTTTACGTGTGGCCTTCCTTTTCTGTTGTTTGTTAAGATCTTGGCCATCAATGATTTATTTATAGAGGCACCAGCCATTTTGAAAAGATGCGTACGTCTGGGAGGGGGGAGGGCGTTCTCAGTATGCCCTACCCCCTCATCAGCAAGCTGTATGTCTGAAAGAAGAAAGAAGGAGGTAACTCTATATTTGGGAACCATAGCAATGTTCTTTGTCTATATACTATGTTCTTGTCAGCATCCACATGTGTTACAGTAGGTGAACATACAGGTGTTTGGTTTTTTGGGGGGGTTTTTAAGGGGTTTTTTTTTACCATTAGTTTTTTTTCCTGCAACAACCACGTTGAGCACTCAAAGTATCAAAGCACTTTTATTTTTTATTTAAAAAATCTTGGTTATTGTTTTGGGTTCGTTTGTTTGTTTGTTTGTTTGTTTTTTTCTCTTGAGAGTAAACTTTTCTTCCATTTGGAGAGAAAATTGCTTTAGAATAGCGTAAAATAAAAATACAAAAGCCCCTGTTGTGTAACAATTCCCTTTTCTCTCTGTAGATGTATTGGCTCGTTTACAGCCAAGAACGCTAATATTATCACGCACACGCTAACATACCCAACTGTTATTAAAAATAAGCACAGGGATCACCATATGTCAACCAATCTTCAGCAAGTCGTTTAGCGAAAACGAAACATTGTTGAAGAGAAAAAGGGATTATCTTCTGCGTGCGTGAAGGCAGTTATGTGTTTCGAAAAACAAGTGTGAGAGACCATGTGAAAAATGAAGAAAGAAGAAGAAGAAGAAGAAGAAGAAGAAGAAGAAGAAGAAGAAGAAGA